ATATAACTTAATGTATGCGCTAATAAATATTGCGATAAGGAAAATATCTGATTTACTTTGGATTAACAAATAAATGAATGAAACGAATCTTGGCATTTTTATTTTACAATCCTTGCCCAAATGATCAATCCTAGGTACGGCTACTTAAAATCAGTGTCCGAACTGAATTCACGAGTTAGACTTCGATATGCTAACAAATGATGAACTACAATTTCCAATGACTTCCGATTTTTCGAATATTACTGGAATCCCTTATGGTCACTATACGTGTGTACTCAATAGCAGAAATGGCTGACAAGCCTGACTTCAGATTAATTGACCCACTTAGTATAGAAAACGATCTGACGACGTTGGCCAGCCCTATAGCCAGACTATAGCTTCAAGTATCGATCAAATGACACGTACCTGGCCTACCTGGTCTCTGGCAGCTCCGGTCAAGCTCTGAACCCTCTGAAGCAAACTCTCGCGAGTCTTCGCAGGCGACGAAGGTGCACTAGTGGTCCTGGACCCGGGTCTAAGGTTCAGACTCAGGTCGCCTCCGACAGGTTGAGGTGGCCCGGGAGGTGGTGCCCCGGGGACCGGTGGCTGGCTCGGTGGCACGGAGGTCGGCTGCGTCTGCAACGGCCGTTCCGGCACCCCTTGATACGATTGGGACGAATCCCTGGCCATGGAGGCCAGCCCGGAGTCCGTGCTTGGTTCATCGTCGAGCTCCGAGCTTAAATCCCCGGACGAGAACCTGGAAGACAAGCTATGGTCGTGGTCGTGATAGTGGCAATAGGTCGTTCTGTACACCGCCATTGTCTCGCATTCTAGTTATTCGAACAGGATGCGTGTGTCAGTCTCTGACGAGTCGGCGCGGTCAATGCACATCGAACACAGCACAGCCAGGTAAGTGGTTGGAGGGTTACATAGACGGCGGCGCGGTGGGCTCGGCGATGAATGGGGCGATGCTGATTGCCGGGTTGCATGCGTGACATGAACGGGGGTGATATCACGTGTTTCCTTTTAAGTTCCAGTATCTCGTCGGGGTGAATCCGTCCTCGTTCGTTTTCAGCTATTTGCTGATTCCTCGAGCTTTTGTAGATTAGTGGGAAATGCTCCAATTATAATAATCATGTGTTCTTTCTTTTTTTTTTTTGATTTTCATATAAGGGGGGGTTTGATATGTACTAGTCAAATAAATTATGTCATGAAACCTACTTTTGAA